AACAATAATAAACATTAAATATTAAGTAACAAGTTAATTAATTTAAATGAACTTCTGTATTTGATGGGAAACAACCATCACCAATTGATGTTATCCTTGATGGTAATGTAACACTGCTCAAACTACTACAACTATTGAAACAACAATAACCAATTGATTTCACACTTGATGGTATTAAAACACTTGTCAAACTGCTGCATCCATTGAAACAACAATAATCAAATAATGTCACACTCGATGGTATTATAACACTGTTCAATCTACTGCAATAACTGAAACAATAATCACCAATTGATGTTATACTTGATGGTATTGTTACACTGCTTAAATGACTACATCCACTGAAACAACAATCACCAATTGATGTAACACTTGATGGTATTAAAACACTTGTCAAACTACTACATCCAAAGAAACAATATTCACCAATTGATGTCACACTTGATGGTATGTTAACACTACTCAAACTACCGCAATAACTGAAACAACCATCACCAATTGATCTCACACTTGGTGGAATAATATTACCAAATTTCTTTCTATTATTTTTAGTGTAAGTAACATTTTTAAACTCGATGTTTCGATTTTTGTTTCTGTCAAAAGTTTCAAAGTCAACATTGAACCACACAATGATTCGAAAGAATTCTTTCTTCAAAACAACCTTTATTTTCACAATTTCCATTTTCTCTCTGTTTATCATAAATCCATTCCCAAAATTCTCATCTTTTACATCCCACAAGTGAAGTGTCTCGATGTTTGGAAAGTATCCAATTGTTTTGTAATTTAATGGAATCGGGTTGAAGTGGAACTTCTCCATATTACCACCAAACTTCTTGCATACCAACTCCAAGTTAATAAAGTCTTTGATAGTTTCAAAGTAAATTGAGACTATCATGATGTGATAACCAGAAAGTCTACTCATTTTGATATTCTCAGTTTTTCGGTTTTTAAATATTTTAGAAATTCTTTGAGTAAACATTTTTAAGTAATTATTAAATTAAAGTCATTCAACATAACTAACTATTAAGGAAATATCGTAAAATATACTATTCTTAAACAATAAATTTATAAATTAAATATAATACATTATTTAAATGTTTAAAAATCATTTACAAAACATCACCGCAAATATTATTAATTGTATTTGTTTTGTAAAAATATTTCGTTAAAACTGTTATTCTATAATTTGAATATTAAATTAGAAGAACACTATTCAATAAATAAATAAAAAAATTCAAACAAAACCACAACAAATTTGTTTTATTGTCGAATAAAAACAGTATTTCTGCCATTGATTGTTGAACCCGGTTTTGGTGAGACAGCTGTTGTGGAATGTTTAAGATAGCGAATCGTAAAATATTGTTTTTTGAACTTGCAGTGCAAAGTCATTACACTTGATATGGGTGCGCCGATTGCTGATGGGCAGTACGAAAAACTGTTTGAAAAGCGACTTAATGCTGTTTTGAAAAAAAAGTGAAAGAGTCGAAAATTTAAATTAAACTGTTTATAGATAAAAGCCACATTGTCTTGTATGCCAGTACAACAGGAGAAAGCCACTATGGGCTGACAGTCGCGGACATGCTTTTGTTGCAGCCGCGTCGCTGTCAAAGAGATACATCAATGAGAACTTCTTGCAAGAGGAGGCAGTTGATTTGGTTGACGAGGCGTGTGCAACACTCTTTACACAGAAGAAATTGCAGTCAGAGGAGATTGACAACTTGTAAAGAAAAGACATGCAGCTACAGTAGAGAAGATGGCAGAGAGAGCCAAACCAGACAACAAGAGATCTTGGGGTTGCGCAGAATTGAAAAACTAAACAAAAAGACATCAACATTGTTACTAATGACCCACAGTTGATAGAAAATGTAGATCAAACCGGTGGGCAATCAGTGAGCAAAATGACACAGAACGAGAAGACAAGACTCGTGAAACTCGATGACAAGACACAAGAGAGTTGTTGGGAATATTTTGAGAAGCAGAAGTTGTCCATGCTCGGAAAAAAAATCAACTAAGTCATTTATGTTCCTTGGACCAAGTGGTGTTGGCAAGACGGAGCTTGCAAAGGCACTTGCAGAGCAGTCAGAAAAAGACCATACAGCATTGCTCTGTTTGATGAAACTGCAAAGGCGCACTTACAAGTGTTAAATGACTGGTGTTCCACAGATGGAAGAAAATGAAACAGTCAACTTCATTACGTACGCGTTTTTTGATTGTTTATAATCTTGGCAACTTTTTCAAGAGTTGTTAATTTGGTCTCTAGCCAGAAATATCGTTTTCAAATTAATCACATTCATACCCTTTTATTTATAGTCTTTTTTCAAATCTTTTAATGTGACCTTTTTGTGTCATATAATCTCGACCTTCTATTGTTGAGATTATCTAAATATTTTTTTAACAGTTTCTGCTCATATTATGATTTCAGCAATATTCTTTTTGAGCAAAGCAACAAACATTTGCTCAAGAATGTAAACTGGTGCATTGGTTTCAAGTGTTAAGACTTGTGGTTGAGTGCTTTGATTTGTTTTCCCATAAGTGTTGTTTTATCTTTTATGCAAATGTGTGTCGAGATTTTTTGAATTGTCTTTTACAGCTTCAAACATTAATATAATTGTTTATACTTTTTTATATTCGGTGTCTTTAATTAACTCGGTAATAAACAACGGATTATGACGTGTAATAATCAAAATAATATAAGAACAAACTCAAATAAAATTTAGTTTATTTTTTTAAAAGGTTTGTTGTTTATGTTTATATTTTATTGTTGTTTTTAGTTTTTTGAATAATAAGTTAGAATTTGTTATTTGGTGTATTTTACTGTTTATTAAAACAAATATTTTAAGATTTTTTCCAATTATAAATAGGTATTTTTATAAACTATTTATAATTATTAAACTATTTATTATATTATTAATTCACCTGGTCATAAAGTAACTCATTTTAACTAAAGACCTGTGACATACGTGCACTTGCCCATATAACAATAAAAACAAAAAACATAAAATTTGTTATAAGAAAAAGAGAAAAAACTCATTATTTTTAAATTAAATTACTTTAAATATTGAATCTTTGTTTTGACCAATAAAACACATTATTAACTTGTAGAACCATCTTTTAGATTTTTTTTTTCATAAATCTATTAGGGAAAATTTAAGAAATAACAAACATCAAAC